TAAATCTGTGTTAGATGTGCACCAGAAACACCCAGAACCTGCTCGGGGGTTAATGTCTGTGTGTATTTTAATGTAGAATGTAAATTAATTCTCTTTAAAAGAGCGGTCAATGCATACTAATTAATTCATATTAACGTCCTCTGCTGCCTCAGTGGCCACTTAACACTAGCGTTGCTTTATTGAATACTGATACACAGGAGAGCACAGTGAGGCTTTATTGTTATCATGTGGTCGTTTTGCACACTTTATGTGAAATAAAACCGATCAGTGGCCTGCTCTTAAACATCTATAAATTGGTTTTGATTCAAGTGTAGAAATGTAGAAATATTGTGCATGTTGCTGATACACACATGTGAACACCCATGAAATGTTAAACCACAAACCCCCAATTAAGGAAAATTGTTAAACCTCTAGTTTTCTGTCTGTGCACCACCCACATTCATAAAAAGCTCCTTTAGTCCTTTTTATGTAAGAAATAACGGTTAAGCATCACATTTACGCTATAATGGTCGAGCGGATGCATTAAATGATATAGCTTGACTGCATTCATTCATCATTTCTCTCACCTTTTGTATCCTGCAGATTTAATCGCTAAGTCTTCACTGTGCTGGTTGCATTATTCATCCAGGATTTTCCAAACGCTGAGCTTAATACAGAAAATAACCCACTATACTCCAGAATAAACTTGATATTCAGCTACTTCCGCTGTGGAGAACGAACAAGCTCCATCATGTGGTGTTCCTATGGAGGCCAAAATATCAAAACATGATTCTTTATGCAGCTTAACTCCACAGAGTTTGTTCAATATTTCTCATCTGCTACTGATATATTAGTCCCAGGACGCCTTAACCTCAAAATAGCTTAACCTCCTGGCAGTATATTTTGCCAGCCGGTCCGGAGGCTTAGCAGGACAGAGGTTTATTTGCCAGGTGCTAATGCAGTGTTTAAACAATGTCAGCACAATACGCATAACACACCCACATCATACAACGGTGGCAGATGAGAAAAAAAAAACCCACAACACTGGTGAGTTATCGCCTGATTGTGCCAAATTACTGCCCTACATTCTCCCGTTTAGTAAATTTCAGCAGGACAAATGGGACCATATGGAAAATCTCCCCACATATTATAATCCTTAATCAGGTTCTTGCAAGATGCTCGCAGTGAGTTAGAGATTAATGAGGTTTAGCACAAAATATGCATTGCTCGTGATCCCTTGATGCAATATTTTGATTATTTTTTTTAAATTGCAGGAGTGGTGCTGCCCGTGTGGAACCCTCAGAACCCGTCCGTTGGGGATAAAGTGGCGCGGGCCATTGTTTACTTCGTAGCACTCATCTACATGTTCCTGGGCATGAGCATTATAGCGGATCGATTCATGTCTTCTATAGAGGTAGGTGAAAGAATGGACACTCGGGTGGCATTATGATTGTATACATCAAATCTGATTGAATTCAAGGGCTCTGTGGCATCTTCCTCTTCTTTTGTTCCTCTCCAGGTCATAACCTCCCAGGAGAAGGAGATCACCATAAAAAAGCCAAACGGTGAGACCACAACGGCCACGGTCAGAATCTGGAACGAGACCGTCTCTAATCTCACTCTAATGGCCTTGGGTTCCAGTGCCCCCGAGATACTGCTGTCTGTTATTGAGGTCGGTACAATATGAGCCAACCTGGCTACACATTAGATGAAGCGATACACGGCGTAATGGGAACGCGGTAATCTGATTTTCAACCCTCCTGCAGGTGTGCGGTCACGGTTTCGAGGCCGGCTCTCTGGGCCCCAGCACCATCGTGGGCAGCGCCGCCTTCAACATGTTCGTCATCATCGCCCTGTGCGTGTACGTGGTTCCCGACGGAGAGACGCGCAAAATCAAACACCTTCGGGTGTTTTTCGTCACGGCGGCCTGGAGCATCTTCGCCTACATTTGGCTCTACCTGATCCTGAGTGTGTTTTCGCCTGGAGAGGTGGAGGTGAGGATGGGTGAAAGGGAAGGACTAAAGGAAGGAGAACAAAGGAAGGTGGTTGACCTCGTTTTCTTTCTGCTCCAGGTTTGGGAGGCGGTGCTGACCTTCCTCTGCTTCCCGCTCTGCGTGGTCCAGGCCTGGGTAGCCGACCGCCGCCTCCTCTTCTACAAGTACGTCCGCAAGCGTTACCGCGCCGACAAGAACCGCGGCATCATCATCGAGACGGAGGGAGGAGCCGACGGAGGGCTCGGAGGCATGGACGGAGGAGGCGGGGGCGGAGCGCTGGGTCCGGGAGGCTTCACCAAGATGGACATGCTGGAGCTGGACGGGCAGATAGCGCTGAACTGTCACAGCGGGCTGGACGGAGGGATGATGGAGGAAGGAGCCAAGGATGAGGAGGACGAGGCCAGGAGGGACATGGCGAGGACGCTGAAGGAGCTGAAGCAGAGGCACCCCGATAAAGACATGGAGCAGCTGATTGAGATGGCTAATTACCAGGTTAGCATCACACGGTCACATTCGCCACTTAAGATTTGTGATGTTGGGCTTATAGTTTTGAAGACACAGTTTTTAGTTTGCTGAGATAAGAAGATCAGAACGACTCTGATGAACTGGGATGTGATTTCATTAGCTTAGCTTAGCTTAGCATAAAGAATTGAAGATTTGCAATGTTGGGTTTACATTTTTGAAAACATACAGTAGCTCTTGCTTCCCAGCAGTAAAGTGAGAAGATTAAACCATTCTGATGAACTGGAATATGATTTCATTAGCTTAGCTTAGCATAAAGAATTGAAGATTTGTAATGTTGGGTTTAAATTTTTTAAACATACAGTAGTTCTTACTTTCCAACCGTAAAGTGAGAAGATTAAACCATTCTGATGAACTGGGATGTGATTAGCTTAGCTTAGCATTAAGACTTGAAGCACAGGAAGACAGCCAGCAAGGTCAAAAATATGACTGCTAGCGTTTCTACAGCTAGCTCATTGATTTGTTGGTATGCAAGCAGAGTATTTTTGTAGTTTTCTGTGGAAAGCTGTAGCTTTATGGGAGGTTACATATTGAATTATAAGCTAACTGCCTCCTGGCTCTAGCTGCATAATTAATCCTCTGAACCTCAAGCAGTTTAAGTGCTTTTTGATTTTGCACCTTTCACATTTTTAATCACTGTGGGCTCATTTTTTCTGCAGTATAGAGTCCTAGACCTTTTGAAAAATGCACAACCGTGGATAGATGTAAAGAGAATTGAAAAATGTCTTGTGCAGGTTAACAGTGATGAGCAAATAACAAAAAGGAAGTTACAATTCTTTCTATTTATTGTACAAAAATTGCAAAAAACTGGAATCAACAGGTACAATTTGCCCACATGTGCCACGAAAACTAGATACATGCATATAAAACTACTAGATACCAATATTTTTGTCCTGTGACTTTTGGTCACAGCTGAGCCACTAAAGATTTCATGGTTTCACAATTTAAGATTAGATTTGGTTACGTTTCCCAACCGTCATAGATGAGTGGTTCAAGGGTGATTAGAAAGTTGGAAATCAAGCCATTCATCCTGTTTTTACTGATTTTGGCTCTGATAAACTGTCATTTTGGTCATTTAAAAATAAAATAAAAAAAGATGGCATGTCTGTTTGGGGTTCAGAGGGTTAATGCACAGACATGAGTTGTATGTAAGTCTCTTTAAAAAAGTGCTAATAAGCTTATTTCACAAAAATTCTGACTGCTTCTTTAACAAAAACAGTTACATCCATTAGATCTTAGCCGGACTCAGCCCAGCGGTCGAGGCGATCTGCAGCAGTGCACAGTGTGAAATTGAGTGTGTCAGCATAAACTGTGAGCAGTGTCAGGTCGTGAACTGTGCTCACTTGTATGACTATGACTGGATGTTACTACCCAGCTGGCAGCTAAGGAGCTGACGACGGCAGTCTGATGCCGGAACATAAATGAAGCAGCTGAGGTGCCTGAACTAACACAACGCTCCATTTCTTCCAGCTTGTTTGCTCAGTCTCCACGTCTTTGTTCCTTCAAAGTTTTGACTTACAGCTCCTTCGCTCTGTTCCTGAATTCGTCATCGAGGCAAACACACCATCACGTTCGGCTGTGAACAAGGTGTTTTAGGTGGCAGCAGGGGGAGGAAGCTGTTGGAGGTGGCGGCGTACTTCAGAGCTGTTTAACAACTTGGTTTTCGTTGCTTTTCACTGCACAGCTGCATGAAAATGAACCTCATTCATGTCTTCTAATGCAATCATTGTCTCTAGAAAATGGGAACCCTTCAACACATTTACACCAGCTCTAAACATCATTATTGAGAAGCTAATTGAGTTGGCGACGCACTTCTTCTGAGTCTCTGTCAGACTTTACACAGACTAAAGCAGAGTTTTTGTCATGTGCTGAACAAACCACTAGTCTGCAGAGTGGAAGGTGCCACTTGACTTGACTGACAGCACTGTAACATGCAACCCCTCTGCCATCCAGGTGATTTTTTGCCCGGTAAGTTACATAAACACCAGATATATGAGCGTAAAAGGTCATTCTTGACTTTGGAAGTTGTAGCTTCACAAAAAAAAATAATGTAACTTGAGGTCCTCTTGCAGCTCATGCAGCGAGTTTAAGGAAGACTGTGAGATGCAGTTAAATGCCAACCCTGTCTCCCAAAACTTATAATCCAATACAACCAAGCTACGCTCTCAATTAACAAGTAAGCTGTAGGAGGTTGAGTTTTAACTTTCACAGAGACACAAAGTCCATCTGACACACTTACAGGTCCCATATTGTTCCCCTTTACTGCAAATTAATGAAACTCTCACACGTCATCAGAGTGCATCTTTCAGTTTTGAGTTCAAAATACTGCAAAGAAGTTTTAGTACTCCTCTAAATGGGCTGTTTCTGTAGCTTTAGTTGAGCTGCTGCTGCCCACACCACCTTCAGAAAGAAGACTCTCTCTGTGCACATGATTGACGGTGCAGAGTGAAAAGATTAAGCAGATTTTTAGTTTAAAGCTGATTGGCTCCTGAGTAGCTATGGAGAAACCCAGTCATCTATATGAGCATGCTCATATTCTCACATCTTTTATTTTACACCTTCAACCTTTCAACACATAGAAAACACATTTTCACCATATGGGACCTTTAAGTTTTGTTTTTACTCTTCGTTTGCTTTTGTTTTCTTGCACCAGAGAGGATCCAGGTTCAGGTTAAAATACATCCTTTCACAACCATCAGCAGTATGGAGAAGATGGATGTACACACAGTTGAATTTGGCCGCTTAGACATGACGAACAAAGGGAGGATCCGACTGAGAGCTTGAGGAAAGGCCCATACGATAGCAAAGTAGTTGAAGCATACCCTGCTTTATTTATGTTCAGCTTACTTTTACTGGAACCATAATTTTAAAAAATGAACATCTTGCTGTATTGACGGAGATGTGACACTACCAAATGAGACCATAAACTCAAGAGGAAACTGTTTACTGAAGTGGCAAATCAAGTGAGAAGTAGGATCATTTTCTCAAAACAATCAAGCTTCTTTTGCAACCACAACAACGACTTCACTTTGCAAATGTAAAGACTAGATCAGGGTTTTTTTTTCTAGGTTACCAAGGTGACAAATCCCAACAATCTCATCTTTAATTGATTGGCTGAAAGGGAGAAAATTAGGTTTTTCCTTCTAATTTTAATTGAGAATCCTGTTTAGTTGTATAGGAATGTCATTTTAGGGCGACAAGGCTCTGCTGAAGCACACAAGTGGACCTCGAGTTAAGATTTTTTGGGGAATTTAGCTTTGTGATTTGTTAACCAGCATCTATAGGCCATGAAAACTTTATCCTAAATTTAACTTTTGGTTAAATTTGACTCTAGTTTAGTCGAGTTTCAGTCTGTCACAGCGATTAATCGAGCTGTCGGTTAATCGGTTCTCGTCCCTGAGAACTAACAAGCTGCTGCTAGATGTCCTCACAAACACACACACACCTCTGTTGTAATAGCTGCTCACACTTTCCCAAACTTTTATGAACACTAATCATTAAACTGGCACATCAAGGATTCCTGTGCACACATTTCATCCTCTAATGCTGAACCGTAGACGCCGTCCAAGTCTCCGCTGCTCTCCCGGTTCCTGCTTCCTCCCTCTTCCTCCTTCTCTAGCCTCCCCTCCTCACTCATTTTGCTTGTCTGTGGTCGGTGAAGGAGGGAAGGGAAAGGGTTTGGCAGGCAGAAAGCGCCCTGGGCAGCTCCCAGATGTTTGTTTGCCTTCAAGCCTGTGTGGCCCTGCAGCGACTTCCCTCAGCTTTGTGCCGTAAATAAGACTGACAGCTGCCCTGTAGATTAAACTCCGCTGGGTAAATGAAAGTTCTTGTGGTCATAATGTATCGCTGAATGAAAAATGAAAATGGGAAATGGAGCTGCTCGGCGAGAAACAAATTTTTAAGTTAACTCAATAATTGCGGATTTCTTCTGATGGAAACAGATTTTATTATATTTTAAGATTCTGAGGCAAAAATAAAATAAAATTAAAAGCTGCTTGGCTTCTCTTAAATTCAAATAAATTGTTTCCAGCCCTGAGGCCACATTTAGTCTAATGTTCTCCACAGCTACAATGGCCAATCTGTTTGTTTTCAATTCAGGATAATATATTCTCATTGAAAACATACTTATAGGTTGATACGCCTCATTAGATTTAAAGTCTGCAGCGAAGAAAAGCAGCAGATTTATAAAGAATATGTCTCTATTTCAAAAACTCTTTAAATACAAGCTCTGGTTCCAAACCCGACCCTGATTTTAACTTCCCAGTGGAGGACTTTCCTAAGATGTAAGCCTCAGATTGCGGCTGCCACTTCAAAACTGAAAGCTTTCATCAAATTAAGACTAATCTGGACGAAGCAGCGTTGAATTAGCAGCATGGATCAGTTCATTAATCGACTGGTTCTGTTGATCAGGTCCTGATGCAGCAGCAGAAGAGCCGAGCGTTCTACCGCATCCAGGCCACCAGGATGATGATCGGCGCCGGGAACATCCTGAAGAAGCACGCCGCCGACCAGGCTCGCAAGGTGACGCAAACATCCACCTGACCTGATGTCTACCTGATGTCTACCTGATGTCTACCTGATGTTTACCTGATGTTTACAGGACACTGCAGCTGACTTTGTGGGTGTTTTTTTGTTCCAGGTGGTGAGCAGCCATGAGACCCAGGCCCAGGAGGACGACCCCCACACCATCAGGATGGATTTCGAGCCCTCTTTGTACCAGTGCTTCGAAAACTGCGGCTCCCTGAAGCTGACCGTCGGCAGACACGGAGGAGACGCCGGAGTCACCGTCAAGGTGTGTGTGTTGGAGGGAAAGAAGCCAAGAGAGGCAGATGAAAGCCGGAAAATCTTCTCACCTCTGGCACGTTTCCTGGTTTTGATCTGATAGCATGTTCTCACCTGCTCCCACACCGGTAAAAGGGAAAAAAAAGTCAAGAGAAGAAAGAGACACGAGAGAAAACACGGCCGTTTTTAGATTTTGTACATTTCAACTCAAAGAAAACACACATCCCTTTGCAGAGGCTCATTGATCTCAGGCCTAATCCCGGCCTGGTGCTCTGAATAAGAGATGTGCCTGAATGTGAGAGTCTCCTGCAGAGAGGAATCATATCTGATCTGCTCGCTGTTACTACAGGAGATTTGCAAAGCGCCTCTTTTCTTCTCTTTGTATACAAATGAAAATATGATGCGAGATGGGTGTTTTCTGTGGAGGGACGCTGGTGGCAGGGCCTCAGCCTGCCGTCTACTGAAGGGTGATTTTCTTAAGTGAAGTGGCCTATTTAGGCCGCAGACAGACTCTTCAGGCGGAGTGACAGAGCAGCTCTTTACAGACAAAAGAAGTATTATTTTTTCCTCAACAGGCTCCTTGTATTTGATAGCCGGCTTCTTGAAAGTCCCAAGTTTCTATTCATCATCCTAGACGCCTATCTCAGCCTTTAAAAAAAAATGTAAAGAAAAAAACATGTAAAGAATTCTACACAGCGCTTCTTTTTTGTCCTGTTAAAAGTTTTAGCAGCTTTAGCAGAAGGAAACCGTTCAAGCTTGTGTCTTCATTCTATTAAATGGCTCTCTAGCCAACATAACAATGGTATTGAAAGGTTATCTGTTAAAAAAATAAAATAAAATCACCAAAATCACACCATTTATCAAAGCTACAAACTGTTAAAACACAAAAAATCGTAGCATTTTCACCTTTCCAAAGATCCTCAGGCTACTTATCTGCAACGTGCCACTCCATCAGGAAAATTAAGCAACTCTGAGACTAAAATATAATCCAAGTCATTTAGAAAAATCTCCAGAAAGAAACCATTTGCAGTGACCTGATTCTGTGGGGAAAGAATTAAAAATTCTGGGACTTTTCGACTCCACAGAGATGATCGGAAACAAGTATGGAAACAAAATAAGAATGTTAGTAAAATAGTAAAATATGTATAGCATGTAGGCTTACATTTTCTTTCCAGTAACACCTATGGGCACTTTAGTTGTTTTTTTTTTTTTTTCCAATCTTTGCAACAAGTAATCAAAGAAATTCAGTTTTCCTTTTTTGGGGGGTAATTTATGGCATTTTAACTACATTATGCGATTCAAAAGGCATTTTATACTTCTGTCTCTCTGTAACCATGGTGATGATGTTTCCATAGAAGTACTTTACATTGCAGTTAAAAAACAACAACAAAAACCACCAGGAACTACTCAGGGTTCCGGACCTTAACAGATTTTTTTAGCCACCTTCAAACAGTGGAAGCAGGATGTAAATACAACATTGATATCGTGTCACGTTTTAAACTAATATAAGAACTTTTTATCAAACAGTTGCTTAGATTAGAAGCATTCATCTGGAGTTGTATTTCAGCCTACTTTATAAATGCAGCTCCAAAATTAACTCCGGTTTTGGCTCTGTTTTGGTCTCCACCACCTCCTGATGGGGAAATATCTGGAGCTTTAGCTGCTGAATGCTCCATTGTGTTCAACAGCGAGGTGCTAGCTGTCTGCTGTCTGGTGCTGGGCAGGTACATGTGAGTTTTTACCAGTTATGTCGTGTTGAATGTCTGCTGAGGATGAAAGAGTCAAACTGATAAACCAAAACAATGAGAAAAATGCTTAAATAATGCAAAACTGCTGTAAACTATAGAGACAGGAGAGAAATCGGAGTGGTTTTGTTGCTATGAGGAACAACTCTCATGTTCAAATCGCCATTTAAACCTTTAAATTAAATTGGAAATATTGATTATAGCAGCTTCAAGTTTGCATTAAGTGTTCAAGATGTGTTCCTTACAGTACGACTTGTTCATTCTTAATTTGAGAAGACAGGCGTCCTAATGAAAGTATCTATGCAGCGTTATATCATTAATTTGAACTTAAAGTAATAAAAATTCCTGAAATTAGGTCCCTGCCAGGTGATGTGATGACCCTACAGGCTAAAGGAAGCTCATCTTTATATAATTTCACTGCTTTTATAAACACAAGATGATATAATATTCCTCATTTTAATCTAACATTCAAGGATTCGGCCACATGTGTGAAACATCTGAAGTATTTCCAGTCCCAGAAACAGCAGCCAGCTGAATGGTTGCGTTCAAAAATAAGTTGAAACGCTGCGTCACTTACTCCAGGAGCTAAAAATAGAGCAGAGTCACGAGAGGCGACCACAGCGCCGACGCTGACTCACTGATTCGGCGACATGCATTCTCATTTTTGTAGTGTTTATTAGGTGGCAGACTCTGATCGCTGTGGTCTGACTCTAAGTAATGTAAGCATGTTTGTCTGTGTAGCAGGAGGAGGTTAATTAATAGGCAGATGGAGGGAGAGGACGGAACACAGGGAAAGTTTTGTTCCACTATCTTCAAAGTCTGTGTTATCAGACTGTATCTGACCAGAGGGCTCGGTTTAATGAAGCTGTTTTTCTTGTTCTCTCTCTCACCCTCTGTCCCCCGTCTCCCAACTGCCTCCCCTTTCTTTCCTCCCCCTCCTCTATCTTTCTCTTCTTCTTCTTCTTCTCTGTTCTCCCTCTCCTTTTGTGTTTGTCTGCCCTTTTCATATCTGCTCACCTCGCTGACGGCTCTTTCTCCCCCCTCAGGTGGATTATCGTACAGAGGACGGTACAGCCAACGCAGGTTCAGATTATGAGTTTGCAGAGGGGACGCTGCTCTTCAAGCCGGGGGAGACCCTCAAAGGTGAACACAGCAGTACACATATTTTCAAGCGACATACCATCGAATAGCTTCTGCAGCGCCGCAGGCACATTGGCTTCCACCAAAAATCAGATTTTCAGGTTTATTGGATTTACTCTGCGTAAAGAGTCAATTAGTCGGTAAGCTCCTAAATTCCTTCCGCAGAGATCACAGTGGGCGTGATTGATGACGACATCTTCGAGGAGGACGAGTACTTCTACGTCCACCTCAGCAACCCTCGCGTGGTCGGATACCCCGAGATCGGCACCGCCCCTCTGGACGCCAGCGCCACGCCGAAAGCGGTGCTGGGTGATAATCACACGGCCACGGTGACCATCTACGATGACGATCACGCAGGTAGACGAAACTCTGGCTTCACTTCTAACTCTGTACAGTGTGTTCTCTCTAAAAAGTGGCATTTAAGGGAGTAATCTGGGTTCTTTAAGGCAGGTTTGTATGAGGTGCTTACTCATAGTCAGTGTTTTATCTACAGTGGATCACGGTTTGCATACAGGAGGAACAGCGATGAGTTGCTGTCAACAGGGTCACCACCTAAATGTGTCCTAGCCACCAAAATAAAAGCCCAGATTTAAAAAAAAAAACAAGAAACAACGATATCCCTGGAAGTGCCAATCACATTTGTAATATTTGGCTCGTCAAACTGTGCTTCAGAAAGTTCTCAGCCTCACCAGAGAAACATCACAGGGATTATTTTAACTTTAATGCATTTAGTCCACCGATGTTCGAGCTTTGTCATCCCTTTGCTTTGAAGGTCACATCTTGAGCCTCCAGGTTCTCCTCAGCAGCGTGCATGACCTCATCGTCGTTCTGAAAGTGTCGACCACACAAGTGGGAAGTCAGTTTGGGAAGTCAGACGGTGCAGGTTCACGGGTGCAACTCATTTAGCTGAATCTGTAGTGTGTAGATGCTTCGTCCAGCAGCCATTTTTTTAGTTTCTCTCTCACTTGCAAAGAAATGACGACAAACATTTGAGTTTTTGCGCTCAGTGATGTCAGGTTTTATAGTTGTGCCCCAAAATGCACATTTTTTCAAGAGTATAAAACTGTTGTCAACAAGTTTGTCATGTTGTTTAGCCTCCAAACACTGATGCAAACAATTCTGTCCTTCTGCAACATGTGAAAACAGAAACTCATTAGTGTTCAAACAGATGTTAAAGTCCACTCCTCTAATGTTTCTTAACCCTTAGAGCCTGATAGATGCACTTTGTGTTCAAATTCGTACCCCTTCTTCTTCTTCTTCTCGGTTGAATTGAAGTATTTACTGGGGTTAAGGTAAATGAAAATGCACGATTTGAGTTTTCTAACAAACAAAGTATGGGACAAAGTGTGAAATTCCATCAGATTTAATCATTAGTTTAGCTTCAGCCTGCATACAACTCTGATTTTCTGATTTTCATTCCAGTGATTCAAGAGTTGTGGTCAAAAGATGAACGCAGGTCACATGTACGCGTTTTGTAATATGATTGGTTTGTTGCAAGATTCTTTTTACAGATAATATTTATCAAAATCACAGAAAAAAAGTGTTCATTTTACACGTTCACAGTAAAAAAAGAGGCCTAGAGTATGCATAAATATAATAGCAACCAGATAGTTCTGTTTATTTTTTAAGATATTAAGAATAAATAAACTGATAATATTTTTTAAAAAAATCTAATTTCATAGATATTTGCTGTTATTTTCACTCTATTTTAAAATAGATTTACTTGATTTTTTTTTTTTTTTACAGTGTAGTGCTCAGAGGGTTAAAAGCCGGTTTATTTTGCGTCCACATAAATCTACTAGTTTGCTGCGGCAGCACATCCACAGACAGGCGTCATAAGAACGTGATAATAGTTCCCGTCCCCTCTGTGTCACCACTTTTTCAATTGCGGGACTTTGATGACATCCAAAGAGAATTAAAGTGCAGGAGGATGAGCGGAGAGTGGGTGTTTACTTAATGCTTATTACCTTTTATCTTCAGAGCGTGGGCGGTAATCTATTATTCTCTCAGCGTACAGTATATACTGTACACCTCGGAGAGCAGCTTGTGAGCGTGGGCGTTTATCAGCCTCGTCTTTCATGTCTTTTTAGTGTTTCTCCCCTGTGAAGCTTCTCTTTCGCTTTCCTTTCTGTCTTTCTCAGGCATCTTTACCTTTGAGAGCGCCAGCCAGCGGGTGAGCGAGAGCGTCGGCGTCATGGAGGTGAAGGTGTTGAGGACGTCGGGGGCTCGAGGCCTGGTGGCCATTCCCTACCGAACCCTGGACGCCACCGCCAAAGGAGGGGAGGACTACGAGCTGGCTGCCGGCAAGCTGGAGTTTCAGAACGACGAGACCATGTGAGTACGATACCTTGAGAATGTCGCGACAACACCTTTGTGGATGCTCGTTCTGTGTTTCACTTCCATTTGATTGACTTTCCATTGAGGAACTGCTGTGTGGGTTAATAGGGCGTCTCACTGTATGAATAGCTCTATTAGGTAGGTAACAGTGTAATCATCCCACATTTCAAGGCGGGCCACTCTGCGTTAAATGCTTCCACACACGTGTGCGCACACGTACACACTGGCCAAATCGCTCCGGCGTCCTTGGGCACATGCATTTTTAATATGCTGATGTTAGCGGTGTTAAATTGACCAATACATAAAGCGGTTGGGAATGCAGTTTCCTCAGCGCCTCATGGGGCCTATAAAGCAGCCGCTCTGTGTTTGTGTGTGTGTGTGAGAGTGTGTGTGTGGCCTCCTATGTATCTATATGGACCAATTTGACTGCTAGGTGTAAGTGAGGACGCTGGTTCTGATCGATTGATAAGGTTAGAAATGGAGGGAGGCAGCGATATGACACAGAAACAGTATTCACACGTGTTTAATAATACAGATTTGTGTGTGTGTTTGTGTGTGTGTGTGTGTGTGTGTGTGTCCAGGGGCGCTAAATGTTGGCAAGGCCATTGGAAAGCTGTTCATCTGTGGCTTTCCCTCAGAGAAAGACTAAGAAGATGGAGTGTGTGTCTGTTTGTGTGTGTGTGTGAGCGCTCTTCTGTCCTTGTAGGAACCGATTTAAGTTTATGACCTTGCAGACATTTTTGGCTTCAAAGGCTTGTTTTTAGGGTTGAGAGTCGAATTAAATGTAGGTTCAGGTTAAAAGCTGGAGTCTTGTACCATCAGCGCTGTCTCTACTGAGTTATGTTCCTGCACAACTAAACTGCATCCTTTTGTTTCAAATTAAATGTAATTTGTGAGATGTGCCGCAGTAGAAAGGCGACCAGTTCGAAGCAACAAAGTCGGGAAAGCTCCCACTTTGCTGCAGACATACCAACAACAACCTGTGTTTATCCCGTGCTTAGCAGGAAGTAAGAGAGCAGCAGTGAATAAGAGGCTGTAGGTGCATGAAACCCTCCAGTTCAGGGAGCAGTTTGGGGATTCAGGCTTGTGAAGATGCTCCGTTTCCACAGCGACCGCTTCCAGGTTTACGTTCCACTCAGCGGGGAGCAGTTTGACAGCCTGCTGCAGAGTCGGACCCATAAAACGGGTTTCCAAGCCAACGCTTTCCTCCCCAGGTCTCGAGTCAGAGTTGCTCCATGTAGTTTGGGGAAGTCAGACGCAGACAGTACCAGCTTTTCCTCCATTTTGCCTTCTGTGCCGGGAGAGTTGTATCGTTTCTATTGGTTGTACGTTATAGTGTGCAGAGGTCAACATTATTGTACTTGATGGTAT